AACTTGTAGGCACAATAGAAGTATTCTTATCAAATAAAACAACAGAAGGTAAACAATAAATGTCAAAATACAATAGAGTCTATAAAAATAAAGTGTCAGGTCGTCATGCTGACCCCTTTTTTCAAGTAAGTGCATCTAGAAAAGTAAAAATAAAAAACAGAACACAGACCCCGGGCTACATGTAAATGAAGCCAGGGGTCTGTATTGTATTCAGACACATAATAATAATAATTTGTTTGAGAATGTGCGGCGGCCATGTTGGCCACCAGCGTGTTCTCTGAATGCGTACCACCATCTTGGAGGCAGGGAGCATGACGTTACATGACGCCATGCATGCGTGGCGTCAGGTGACCTCACACGCCGATATTGGCCCCACCATCTTGGTGTATACCTAGATATACACCAAGATGGCGGCGCCCAACACGTGCGGTGTTATATGACGTCATGCGCCCCGCCAACAGAACACGCCAATGGCTGAATCCAAAAGAGCATAAAAATTTGTTTTGTTTGATGAAACTAATGAAAACGTTTTTAGTTTTCGTTCATTTCATCTGAAATGAATTTTTAGTCTTCGCACTTGTCTAATAATATGCGTGTGTGTGTGGGGGGGGGGCAGTTTTCACTTTTTTTAAATAATTTTTTATATTTTTTATTATTTTTTTCATATTTATTTATTTTTTCACTGTTGGGGGGCTTCGGGGAAATATTAGGGGTCCAAACAGACCCCTGACATTTCCCTTGTAAAATAGAAAAGAAATTGAGGACACCAAATCCTCAATTTCTTTTTCTACAGCCTCAGCACTCAATGAATGGGAAGCACTTAGTACGGAGGCTTCCCATTCAAATACTTACTATCAGCTGTTTCGGAATGGGGAGGAGCCTCTGTGCTGAGTGCTTCTACCCATTGAGGAAATCTTGAATGAACGGGCTGTGATTTAAATCACAGACTGTTCATTCATAACTTGGGACACATAGCACTATGTGTCCCCAGTTATTTACAAACACTGGAGTGATCAGACGATCGCTCCAGTGTTTGTCCTTCTCACACGGAGGATCGGTAAATATCAATGATATTTACCGATCTCCCACTCTGCCACGCACAGAGCCGATGTCATCCTGAAACTGACAGGATGACAGCGGCTCTGATCTCCTACCCGCTCGGCCATCCTGACAGCTGCGGGTGCGGCTTCTCTCCCCCTCACCGCTCTGCCATCCTGACAGCAGGCAGAGCTCCCTTTTGCGCCCCCCCTGAAGTGGGGGGGCGGACGAGGGAGCGCTGTCATATCGGATGGCCAGCGGTGAGGGGGAGAGAAGCCGCCCACAGGACGAGCTGTGACGGCCGCACAGCTCGCACACCCCTAAGGCTGGCCCTGGCAAGGGCAACGAAAAATGAATGGGACAGTTTTTTTCAGCGTATCGCAACACGTCAAAAACGCGTGCTATCGTGCAGTAACGCAACACATGGCAAGCTATTACAGTGAAGTATGTCTACTCAGGACATGTTGCTTCATATAAAACCTTGGCTCTCAACTGGTGGGTCGTGACCCAAAAGTGGGTCGCGACCCCATGTTCAGTGGGTCGCCGCATGCCTTCCACTTTTCTAGGTGAGAGGCTCCTTTGCCTCCACCTAGCGCAGCACTGTCAATTCAAGCAACCATTCAAAATATGCTGCCCGGCACTGAGCATCAGCTTAAGGTGGGATGGGGCTATGGCCATGAGGGAGCTCCATCCATACGTGCATTGCTTACAGCTCCCTCATGTGTCCTATAAGGGGTGCCATGGTGACATCACATTATGGCTCCCGACACCTCTACAGGGCGCGCAAGGTAACTGTACAAGTAATCCACATATGGATGGAGCTCCGTCACAGCACAGCAGCCCACACTGGACCCCAGGCTGAGGATCCACTCCAGTTCTCGTAAGGTAGGGAGACTGGGTGGACCTTAAAAACAATGTAATTTAATTAAAACATTTTTGGAGTGTGTGTGATAATGCGTCTGTGGTTGTGTATGTGTCAGTGTTTTTGAGGGCCTGTTCACACTAGTACAGTGCATTAATCGCATAGTACCGTGCGATTAACACACTGCACCACATAATCGCACCGTGCATTCTGGTGTGGGAGGTGTGTTGCGTTGCCATTCATTTGAATGGTACCCCAAATGTACCTCCCACCCACAGTTTATACACCCGCACCAGAACACACGGTACCCTAATGCCATGCGTTCTTGAGCAGTGCGACTTGGGTCACGACTTAATGATCAAGGACAAATGTGGGTCCTGAGGTTACACAGGTTGAGAACCACTGATATAAAAAGAAAAAAAATCTGTTGGAACGCAACAGATGAGAAGAAAATCAGAAGGTACAGTCGCAAGTCAACAAATCTTTCATTGACTTTCGAGTACCTTGCGATTTTTGTGCGAATGCACCCTTAAAGCAAATGGTGTGCAAAGTATTAAGGTTTGTTTTCTTTAAAAACAGTCATGGCCTGAGTAGAAAAGCCTGGTCCCTGCCAGCATGCTGAAAAGTGGGACCCTAGTTCATTGTGGGAAAGCAGTGATTTCTGTGCAGAGGTCTGATACACTCCTCTCTGCTGAGTCATAGCCAGAGTTCTCAAATCAGCAAGGACCATGAGTTAGCAGGGGGCACTTCACAGCTCTTCAGAGAGACCACTGCTTCCCCACAGAAAGCAGGGGTCCTTCTTGCTGGCAAGGGTAGGCTTTTCTATTAAAGCTGCAGCTGCTTTAGAACAAAAACTGCAGTAAGACATTAAATAACTTCTATTTATGCATCTGGAATTTACTTAAACTGAAGGTTCAATTGGGCTTGATGTATATATTTTTTTCAAACAGGTGTTCATTTGGTTTAGTTATTCTTGGGATTATAAGGAAGGAACCTATAGTAATCCAGGTGTTGTAGCTCCAGAAATGTTTGATAGAAGTGTGGTAGATTTGTATGTTCTCTCGCGATGCTGGAGAACCATAGCTTGTGTGAACTGGCTGTAGACGCTCCCAGCATTCAAAATGTAAACTATGTAGAACTTGTACACAAAACTGCACAGCACATACCGGCAGTATCTATTGATTGTCAGTTACTGCAAACTAAATGTCAGTTTCAATAAATAACTCAACCTTTTGACAGAGTATATGGAGAGTTTTATGTTGGTTTCAGTAATATAATTGAATCCGAAAGTGATTTTAACTGAGAACTACACCTAGAAATAGTAAAGCTGAACTCCACCGAAACTTTTATAATATAGAGTGGTACATGGGTGGTGTGGTGTTTACTAGCCAAAGGATTAGTACTTCTGTCCAACTAATTCAGAGACGTACACAGCCCTAACAGTCAGCATAGCCAAGCTGGTGACCTGCCTTTTCTCTACTGCGGTTATGCACTACTGCCTAGTCACTTCCCTGCCCCATACCTGTAAATGGGCAGTGAAGCAGCAGCACACTGATGAAGTAATCTCACTCCTCTCTCCTTCTGACAACATGTTCCTCGATCTACATGTACACTGCATTATACCCAACTGACCAGCTTTAGGAAGAGGGCTTGCTGCAGAGGTAAAAATTGGTAGCACAGTGTAATCATGTGACACTGGGAGGAAATTGTGCTGCAGGAGATTCAGTAGGCAAGACACAGGGAGCTTATGGAATTTATGCAATTTTCTTCATGTACCTGAACTACAGCCTATAGGATCTGTTACCTAGATCGGGTCTGAGATTTATTCCCTAATATAAGAAGAATCCAGTGTCAGAAGTGTAGTGTAAAAGGCAGGGGTCTCTCTAGCTTTTTCGCCCTCTGAGGTGGCTGGGATGGGGCGCTGGTGGTGCAGGAAGGGGTTAAGAAACCAAATGTTTTATTCTGCTTAAATGAAACTGACAAAAACATAAAAAAAAGAATAAAAAATAAATCTCGGTGGGACGCCGGCCAGGGCGTCCTGCCCAGCTCCTGGACACCAGTGACATCACTGGCTGCCATGAGCTGGACGGGATGCCGCTATAGCATCCCAGGTTGCGAAGAACTCGGCAGGGAGATTTATATGGTCCTTACACATCTCCCCGCCTGTCTCTTAGCAACCTGGGATGCTCTGGCCAGAAAGGGGGGGGCGGCAGGGCAGGCGCACTGCAAACATTGAGCAGCAGATTGGCCATGCTGCTCTGCCTGCTGCCCACCCCAACGTGACCTTAAAGAGATACCGCCTGAGACAACAGCTTCAGGCTGCCTCATTATAGGGAACAGCCCTGGTAAAAGGTATTGCACAGTGATTAGGAGAAATAATTGCTACAGATAATTGCTAAAGAAATTGCCATGATTTCCATTTTAACTAAAGTTTACCTGGGGATTGTAAGGGATCTCTGTATGTGAAGCTCTAATTTAATGTGTGAGCCATCATTCTGATAGCAGGTTATTTTAGTTTGTTCATTTAAAATTTGCAGCAAGAATTATCGAGTAGAGAAAGCAACAGCAAGCATCATGCAAATGATCACCAAACAAAGCTCAATACTGCCACCCATGTTTTTACATCCCTGTGCAATGAGATAGAGCTAGTCCTGAGTAACGCTTTGTCTATTACATACCTTGATATAATTCATAATTTAAACTAAACTGAATGTCTCTCCCTTAAGCCTCCTACAAGAAGATCTCTAGGAATTCCAATAGTAATAAGGCAATCATGACAGTACATCACTCCACTTCATGGAATTTTTACAGTAAAGCTGGCCATAGAAGGTTCAAATTTTAACTAATTCCTGCTGAATAAATTAGCCGGAAGTGGAGATTCTTCCGTCCATGCTGTTTAGTGCGGATGGGGAAATTGGTTGATTTTCTCTTGTTCAGACTGCGAGAAAATTGAGCCGTGCATGCCGTATAATCATCCGAATTCCAGGATGGTGTTAGCAACTGATTAGCCTACTGATCCAGCTTGTGTCATATGAATAGATCAGATTCTTTGGTTGAGCAATCTGTAAATTTATTTTGTGTGTATCTTTTTTTTTTGCAGAGGAAAAGGAAGCAGAGTTCCCAGGACAAGGATGACGCCATCAGCGTGTGCAGCCTCAACAGGAACGAAGTGAGTGAAGTTCTATTAAATCTGGTCTCAAAGAAAACAGGTGGACGTTATGTGATGTTACCTGAATGTGCTCAGAGATTGTGTACATATTGTATATCACAAAAATAATTGCTGGCAGTTATATATTAACTTAAACCTGCAAATACTATACATGCAGCTCTTTTCCAAAAAAAAGGAAAATACCAATAGAAAAATAAATAGGATATTTAAAGTGAACCTAAACTCATAATTCTTTTTTAAATTCCTTCTGAAAAATAGCAGTGTACGTCCTGACATGCAGCGCTGGGCTAAAGGGTAGTTAGAAGAAGTGGCCACCTTGGGCAGTGGGGGATACAAAAAGGGCAAGGCCTGCACCCTATATTGCTGAAGTAGTTCACAGCTCATGAGATGAGGAGGGGGGCACTCCCATTCCTACAAACACCTAGGTTGAACATTGGGTTTCAACATAACTGCTGAAGTTTAATTAACCCTTCCTGTCACAAATGAGTGTCAGGCAAAGCTCTTACATGTAGTGTTGGACCTTGCCATCAAGCCCCTACCCCACACATTCTCCTTTTAGGGTCTGGGGACGATGACCTCACCCCATAGTACATCACATGGTTACAGCAAGGGCCTTATTTCCCACAAGGCCACCAAGTCCTGGGCTCTAGGTGGCAGAGAGTAGAGGGGTGGCATAGCCGCCGGGCGGGTAGTTTTTTTTCTACATTTAGCCCTGCTTCAGGCAAGCAAGGCTAAATGTACACCAAGGACGCCGCTGTTTTAGTACAAGTGATCCTGGCAATGCTGCCAAGATCACTTGTAATAAGCCTGTCTGTCTGTCTCCCCCTGTGCCCCCCCCCCTCCATGGTCCGCCCCACCTCACCTGGCTGCCTCTTTTCCCGCTGGGCTCCTCCCTCCCCGCTGTGGTTTTTAGGGTCCCCCGCCCTTCTGGGGGACCCAGAACCATAGCACCTTTGTTCAGGATGGAGAGCGGGGAGCAGAGCGGGGAGCAGAGCGGGGAGCAGAGCGGAGAACGTCTGTGTGAACACTGAGACGGGGGAGCTGTGCCAGAACTCCTGTATTGGAGGTGACAAGTTCAATAAAGAGAACCTGTCACCTCCAAATGCTATCACACAGGGGATTGTTAGTCCCTGTGGGATAGCAATAAAGTTAAGGAAAAAAATTAATAAATACAAAAACATTTAAACATTAAAATTGATAAATAATAAAATTACAATTAAAAAAAATTACAAAAAATTACAAAATTTAAAAAGTAAAAAATAATAAAATAAAAAACATGATGAAAAGTAAAAAATAAGCTAAATAAAAATGTAAAAAAGTAACAAAATAATAAAGAAAACATAAAAATGTTTTTAAACCAACCCTGCCGCCCCCCATCTGGTTGCCATTCTCCATTGGGGAGGGTTTGGCGGGGAGGGGGGCGCATTGAGGAACCTGGCCTTGGGGCAGCAGAGAGAGTAAATCCGGCCCTGGTTACAGCATTCAGTCAAATAAGTGGATACATACCCTCATCAGCTTAAATCAAAACTGTGCAACCATTGACTTGTATGGCTTTAAAAGGGCTCCACCAAGCACTAACATAGACATACAGTATATAGCTCAACCTCATTGTAATTTCTGAACAGGTTTTTCTGTGAATATGACACTGTAGTCAGTATGATATGGTAGAAAGGATGAATACAGAAAGATATAAGAGTATCAGGTCCCAGACTGCATTAGCTACTCCCATTGCATATAAAGCAGATGAAAGTGTCAAAGGGTTATTTTTCATGATCAGTTCCGCATTTTAAAACAATATCCTGCTTTTCAAGTAGACTGGTGTTTGTCTTTCAGTTGCTGCATTCTTACATCAGGCGCCTGGACACAAATGCTCACATGCATTTACTTAGGTTCTAGTTATATACAGTATAATGTTCGGAAAATTACTGTGGGGCCCGGTTCTTCTCATTAGTGTGACCTGGGCTGTTCTAAAATGTATATCAAATGCTATGAAATCTGTTAGAACTCACACCAAATATGTTGCCATACATTATACTACATTTCCAAACACATGTATATGAGAAAATGAATTGTTTTAACAGGATATGTTCCTAGCAGTGGTTTGCATTGCAGTGTATTGCAAAAAATAGCTTGCATGCTACAGTTTTATAGCACTGGCCTATATTTTGCCACTTGAGGTATTAGCTGAAAAAAATACAACACTAGGATGAATTACTAAAGGAGTTGAGACTCTTCATTAAAGGACAAGTGCATTTTAAAACAAAGTGTATTATCCTTCTTGCCCTCTTCTCCTGACCTAACCTAACCAACCTTTCCCTTCTACGGATTTGGTCGACGGACGTGGGTGCACCTACTTATTAGTGCCCCCATAGACTCCTATAGGGCTGTGTCCCAAGGCTGGAAATGATTTGAATTTTTGCATAGACGTTTATGGGGTGTAATGTGCAGGCGCAGCTAGGATGTAAACAAACAGCAGAACTGGTGCCATCAGATTGAGGTAAGTATGCATCTGTTGATGGGAAGGGGGCAAAAAGGAGAAGTGCACTTTATTTTGATGGACTTCTTTATTCAACCTCAAATACTATGTAACTATGTAAATATTCTTTTAAATAAATTGTATTTTGTTCACCTTGAATATCCAATCATGTGAACATAAAATATATGCTGAGCGTGAGCGTTGTTGATCAGAGCACTGGACAGGGGGTGCGTCGGACTGGAGGAGACCCCCAACCGCTGTGCTCTGTGTTGCACAGAGGTTTGACTCACACAGTTTATTATAACCCTTGCTGTAGCCAATGGTACTGTAAAAAATAAAAAGAAGCTCACAATTTTTACTGTTTTTGCAGTCTGGAGCTTCAGTTGAGCTTTAAAGACTTCAAAAACCTGTTGTAGCAAATGTTATGACATACACTTACACACAAATTAACATATTTTGTCTTCCTTTAACTTAAAATCTCAGGATGTTTTCCATCTCTGCTCACAAATGATTATTTTTACTAACTTCTGGGATGCCAGGAGAAAAACCGTATCATTTCTGTCATCCTGATTTTGTATATTACAGGCTCACATAGAGAGGAAGAAAGCTCAGGCGTTTCAATGATGATCTGGAAACATCATTAGTGAGATGTTTTTACAGCCAATCATCAATGCTTTGAAATATGACATTATGACAGATGTTGAAGCTTTATGTTACGAGACAATGGACAGTTGCCTGAGATGGCCGGAGGATACATACATCGGGGAGACATTGTTTCTCATCCATACAATACAAACCATTTACAGAGGAAATCTTTGTCAGAGTTATGCACAAAAGGGTGGAGAGTTTGGAGAAGGCAGGAGAAGTGAACAATCTCTAACAGGGTTATTCACAAAAGGGTGGAGAGTTTGGAGAAGGCAGGAGAAGTGAATAATTAACATAGCTGAACTGGAAATTGAGCTGAATTGGAGAATTGTTCCAAATCAGCTATTTTTGCCTAGATTGTTCTCTTCTCCTGCCTTCTCCAAACCCTTCACCCTTTTGTGAATAGCCCTATGTGTGTAAATATGTGTCACCAAAATTGTCTTCTTCTCTGGGCCCCAGTGAACATTGTGGAGTGTGAATGTTCTAAGTCTTGGCTTTGTTGGTACATGGCACTACTGAGGACTAAAAATAGTAGTGCTGGTGCTTATCCATTTCAAAATTGTTATGCTGGAACATGAATGATCATAGTGTGAGAGACACCATGATGGAGCATTGTAACAATTTCTACATCAGTTTATATAATTTTAATTTTTAAAATTGTACTTATTTTTACTGATGCCAGAAGAAAAAACACTGTATGGCCAAATGTGTTTGGGTACCTGATCATCAAATCTATATGAATTTGTTGGACCATAAATTTCAAAATTATGGGCATTGATATAACTTCAATACAAATCAGTAAACTATACGTGAGATTGTAGTCCATCATGGGAGCAAGCTTGAAGTGGTAGCTACTTTACAACACACTCAGCGACCATGGGGAACAAAAGTGGCCACCCTCCAGAAGGAAGGACAGTGTCAGCACCAATTCAGAGCTGATTTGAGGATCTACAGCTGAGTGATACAAAAATAAGATACATTTTCGTTAATAGTTAAGGGACTTGAATGCATTTTTAAGAATTAACTCCTGAGTTAAGTGGCACTTTAATATATTGAAGTGTAGCAGTCCTTACGTGTGGTGGCTGTTATATGTCTCCATATTCAGGCCTTTTTCCCTTTATTTTCACCTGGTGATTATGGTTTCTGGCAAGATCAACAGGTATTTTTTGCACTTAGCTGATAAAGAAAAACACTTTCAATTGTATAGTTATCAAACCAAAAGGGAGCAAATATGAGAGGTTCATTGTTAGAGTTTACAAAAACCTTTAACTAAAAGCACTGTATTAAAGAAATCCAGAAACTTGGCTTGCTAAGATCTCATATGAGGACTCTGAGGAATTGAAAGCCTTTGCATGATTCTTTACTTAAAATAAATGAGTAACGATAAATGCCAAACTCTTTTTTATACTATAGTAACCTTAGTAGCAGTCTCTTGTGTGCTGTTCACAACACTTTTTGATTAATAAACGTATATTTTTGTAATCTTTTCTTATACAAAACAGATGACACTAGGTATATTTTTTATCATGGTCTTTTGGACATTTAGATATATATTTAGAGGGTACTGGATGTAACTAAAGAGATTGATGGAAATGCCTTAAATAAAGCGATAGGACCCAAGAGATATTTGGCAAACATCTAAGGGTTATATAATATTACAAATATAAGAAACATTAATGTATAGAACTTGAACACTCTCACATAATTATTAAGGCATGCATGTAACATCTTATCTGTCAACCTGTAGTTGTAAATGTCTTAAAACCAGATTTTTATGTTAAAAGAATGTGTACAGAAGAAAATAAACTTTGGTTGTAAATGTAAAATGTAAATTCTCATCTAGATAGCCCCAGGCCCAGACAATTTGTTTTTAAAAGCA